GAAGCCGAAGCTGTGTTCGTCATCGGCTGTGATTGACTAAAACAAATCCCACAATGAAGGCAAGTGCTGAGCAACTCTTTTTCCTAATACTGCTCAAGAGGGTGATGATAATGATGAAGACAGTTGTTCATTCAGCGATGGAGTTTACAAGACAAGCTGGCTCGGTCTGAATCGCCTGAGCCTGCGAGGGGACTGGCAATGTGTTGAAGCTCTGTGTAGCAATTCTGTGCCCTAGTTAGAGCGTTGCATATTACACGGCATGGTGAGAACAAAGCTAACCACATCCAGAGGGAACAATGCTCTATTTATAGAAGACTTGGACCAAACTGGGAAATTCAGATCGTGTTCTGTATTATTTTTGGACGAGGAACAAAAGTGCTACTGCAATCCACTTCCTATTGAAGCTAAAACCATAGCCAACATTTAAGACCAACGTTTAAAAGGGAATCGGGTAAGACTTTGAAGAGAAACCATATAAAAAGGTTAAGAGCAGGGAATTGGGATCAGGGCATATCAGTTCCAGTGGGGTATCTCACACCAGCATCAGTTTGATGGGCCCAGTAGCCCTATTCTAATAACAATCACAATAATAGTAATAATAATAATACGTGCATTTGATATCTTATCACCTTATCACATCTTTAGACAACAACAACAACAATGTTTGTATAGTTCCTTTCACGTCGGAAGGACGTCCCAAGGCACTGAACAGCACAGAATCTCAGAACAGAATTGGGATTCAAACCTGGAGAACATAAGTCAAAGCCTTTACCATGAGGCCATCAAAGAAGTTTACAATTTTTGAAAGAAGTGTTTTATCCATCACTTCACTCAGACATCTCAAAGCGATTCACAGAATAAACTGTAAAGTGAATTGACTGTATATTTTGCGGGTAAAACACAGCAGCCAATTGTGCACAGCAGTGTCCCACAAACAGTCGTGGATTGAGTGACCAAATTATTTTTTATTTTTTTGAAGGGATTGTTACCCGCAGAAAAGCAATCCAGCAATCGACTAACTTTGCGCAAGTAAGGTTATGCTGACTCCTTTTTCACTATTTTGATGGGACGCTGGAGAAACAGTTCAAATGGAGTTGTTTGCAAAGTAACGAGGCTGCTAGTGTCGGGATCCCATCCTGTTTATAGGGGAATTCAAAGCACCGGTGCCAAGCAGGCAAACAATTGCAACTTGTGTGAATTTGTGCAAGTGCAGTTGTTTCCACGTTGCAGATTGGGACTTTGTTTCTGGCAGTGGACTTTCCTCTATCCCTGGGGAGGTCAGATCTTTATTTATACAAGTTTTCACTGTACGTGACAGTGATTCCCTCCCTCTGCGGTAGCAGACACAACACACCATCTACCTTAGTTGTAGCCTTCAGAAGAAGAATGAAGACCCACCTTGAGATCAGTGCAGGGAACAAGTGGTGTTTCAGCTATAATGCAGATCTGCTGCCAGGCGTTAGCCTGTGGTCAGTGTTGGTGCTGAATTACAAACGTGGCCTTTGAGAGACTTTTGCTGAGAAGCATTTCATTTATCGCTTAGCCTGGAGAACCCCATACAGTGATCTTGCATGTTCACACTTCATACACAGCAGAAGAAAAGGGGGAATTGCAAATTTACTGGACAAGAGGGCAATAGGTTAAGGTAAATCCCATCACACCTCATTCAAATAGATCAAGGGGGTGGAGGTTTAAAAATGTTTCTTTGTTCTACTTTCAATTAAGTGTGATCTTTGCCTGATCACTCGCATGAAGTACAAACTGGTTCTGATGTGGACTTGATGTGCTGCTGCCTGTCTGATGGATCAAATCAAAAGCTTGCCCCAAAACGTGTGCAGACAAATATCCAAAGCATCTCTACACTTCAGAAAGAAGGACTGGATTTTTGTGGTGCATTTCACACCAAAACATTTCAGTACTTGGCAGCTATTACTGACATGTGTGAAGTCCATATATATGTGAACATTTGTAAGAGTTGTACTTCTCACAGACAACTTTGAAGAGGTCCTGGGCACTCATGCCATTTCATCAGGGTTTAAGCCAAATCCTCTTAGGTTAAGAGGAAGCTAGCTCCCCTTGTAAGAATTGGCCTGTCAAAATGGAAGTTCTAATCTGATAGCGACACCTGTTGATTTCCTCAAAATCCGCTTTATTTTCAAAGTCTGATCTCCATAGCTGTTTTTTTAACCAAAAGGAAATCAGCTTGCACATTAAGACTGAATTTAGGCCTTTTTACATTTCAGGATAATAGTTAAAGATAACTCCAGGAGAGATTTTAGACCTCTGAATTATTCTATTTTTCTGATACTGAAATGTTAGCCTAGATTTTTGCTATGTTATTTTTTGCTGGTGCAAAGGCCTGAAATGAGGCTTTAATCCACAACCTTGTGATACCTTATAGGGTTGTTCCAGTGTGTCCTTACTATCAGTCAATTTGTGCTCTGGCAGATTTTAGATTCTGGAGAAGTGAGCCAGTTATTTCCACCATCAGATGAAACTGAACAGATGTGCAAGAGTCCTGACTCATTTGTTGTACTGTTGTATTTTCCTTCCCATGTTACTCAGGCTCGCCTTTCCTGTACAACACAGGAATTCACGTAGACACCAGACTGACACTCAGACTTCACCTGCATCTGAGAGTTTCATGACCTCTCATTTGCTGTAGCCTCAAAGGACGTTATTTGCTTCTCTTTAAAAATATGGAAAGATTTGAATGTTATAGCTAATGGATTTGAATGAGTTATAGAGAATGTTAACTATTCTTATTCAGTCAACGACTGATGACCCGGCAGCTGCTCAATACTCATCCTACGGAGAGCTTGTTTGCATTGAATGTCTCCTAGGCTGCTCTGAGACCCGTGTATTTACAAGGAGAATTCTCCCTTCAGGATAGGGGTAGGGAGGATTCTCAGACAAGTAGCTCAGTATTGTTATTGGGAATAGGCTCTGGATGTCACCTGCTGAACCATACCGTCCCACTGCACAAAAAGCATGGAGCAGACTATGGTCAATGAGGGTGAAAGTTTGGAGCAGACACACTGTATCATTGAGTTGCATGACACAGGTTCACAATCATGTTCCTGGCACGATCAGTAGCTGATCTCAGTTGGCATTTAGAAGCCGCAGTGTGGAGGTAACTATTTCCCACTGGCCAGTATAGAACCAGTCATTGCGGTTGGATATTACGCTACTCACCTGTCTTCGTGATATGGGTATTGTCGGTGGTGCAGAGAACAAGAGGAGAAAATAGATAAAATATTTGGCAAAAATGAAGTAAGAGATGTTTACGGATTTAAGCTGTGGTCAGATATTGTGGGATCTGGTTGCCCTCTGATATCTTGCCAAAGCCAACCACCTGGCATTCCTTGTACAGGTGCTTGGACAGAAAGTGAGGTCAAGCTATTTCACCATGAGCGCCACAACAGCTGAACCTAATCCTGATAATAAAATCACAATAGTAATCTTTACATTTGGTATAGCATCTTTCATGTCAAGAGGATGTCCCAAAGTGCTTCACATGCTTTTTGCAGGTCTCCCCAGCTCCACCATTCACAAGATCCAGCTCATTCAAAACTCTGCTGCCCGCATACTTACCCAGACCAAACTCTGTACCCACATCTCACCAGTTCGGCCAGGCTCCACTGGCTCCCCACTACCGAATGGATCGACATCAAGATGCTATTTATCGTGTTCAAATCCATTCACTTCCTGGCACCTCCCTACCTCTCTGAGCTTCTCATTCCCCATTCCACCACCCGGCGCCTCTGCTCGACTGGCACTGGCCTCGTGCTCATCCCTCGCACTCTCCGCCCCACCATCAGAGGTTGGGCTTTCAGCTGCTATGCCCCGAAACTCTGGAACACTCTCCCTCAATCCCCCTTTGCCAGCTCTCTCCCTTCTTTCAAGTCCCCCCTGAAAACATTTCTCTTCGACCGTGCTTACGGCCACCTCCCCCCCAGCTCGGAGTCAGGCTCCACCACTGTTAAGCGCTCTGAGACTCTACCCTGTGTGGAGGGCGCTATGTAAGTGCAAGTTGTTTTTGTTCAGTTTCCACATGCCAGTTCCGTCATATCTGGTCGCTTACTCTTTCCAGCAGGAGTGGCTCCCAGTGCTCAGGAGTTAGAACTCTGGATGATGTACTCCAATTTCTCCTTAAACCAGCATAGGGCGTCCCGTAGCTTAGTGGTTAAGGGCAAGTGAGTAGACCCAGGTGCGATTCCCAGGCAGGGTGAAATGTTGGGCAAGTTTCCTTGCTCCACACACCTCTGTTTACCTATCAGTAGTAGGAACCTGGTTGTTGGTTGATTGGTGGATCGCTTTCCGGTGGTAATAAAAAAAAATTTGGTCACTCAATCCATGTCTGTTTGTGGGACACTACTGTGTACAATTGGCTGCCGCATTTTGTTCACAAAATGCATAGTCATTTCACTTTACAATATATTATGTGAAGGCTTTAAGACATCTCAATGATGTGATAAGGTGCTATATCAAATGCAAGGATTATTATTATCATAGGACCTCTTCCCTCTACCGCTTCCCCATCTAATAACAATCCCTCCAAAACCAATTATAAATTGGTCATTTTCAATCTACGACTGTTTGTGGGACATTGCTGTGCGCAATTGGCTGCCGCGTTCGCCCACAACTATAGTCAATTCACTTTACAGTGTGTTCTATGAAGCGCTTTGGGACGTCCTCCCGACGTGAAAAGCGCTATATCAAATGCAAGGATTATTATTATTATTATTATCTACACCGGTTGTGATCGACTAGCACAACACAGACCAGACAGCACTAACGCTGCAATTTCCCTTATTGTTATGGCTGAGTGACACACTTTTCCCTGTGGGATACCCATCGTAAACCAAAGAGATTCCCTTTAGCTTAACATGAATGGAGGATTGTTTGTCCTGATGTTACGAAGAAGTCGAAAAAATTCAGAGTTGATGTCGAAAAAATTCAAAGACCAGCTCCCAATAAACAGACCTAACATTTTACAGTTCACAGAACTCCATTCTTTAATATCACAGCTTGCTCACAATGACATACATGAAAATACCACTAATGAAGATTAGAATAAGCAGGCAGCAACCTTCTAGGTAAGAACTTTAACAGCTGGGACTAACGTGTAAAGTATTGGGTGCTTGTACTTGGCACAAATCCCCCTCCCCCTCCCTCAAAACCAGGGAAATGCTCTGCTCACAAACCAGTAGGAATTGTAAAACCAACAGACCATGTTGCTTGAGAGTGAAGGGTCAAGGTCAGCATATGTTGTGTATACAGAACATGTGGTTTCTGGGTTGATGAACATGGAGAGGTCACTAGCACCATTGACTATCTGACCTTGATGCTCCTGTCAGGTTTTCTCGGCAGAGCTTCTGAAGAGCAGATCTAGCAAAGTCAAATCAGTGGAAAGAGACAACATCAAGAGCCTGTCACAGGACACATCAGATATGAACGGCTTGCATAACGTAGTACTCAAGATCTTTAACAAAAAAAAGTAGGTATTTACAAAATAAGACCCCAATAAAGTTGTGTTTCCACATCAAAGCTGCAAATTGATTGGCTCACTTTTGTTTGTGTCTTTTAAGTTACGTTTCGATTATAGTAAGTTGATTTGTTGACTTTTTTTTAAATGAATCCCATACTAATACATCACTATCCAGGATATAAGGGCAGGAGGGTTTGTTCAGGATGGTGAAATGCGTCAGGCATCAGCTCTCAGCCAGAGATCTCTTCCCGGAGTTCCTTGTTCCTGCGAACCTCTGTAGCATGCCTCTCCTGTTAAAATAGCAAAGCACATTTACCAAACATATGTCTCCTGCCAGTACATGATACAATATGATGGGATGTCACTGCTGGCAGTAGCAGCCACTCCGCTGTTCCTAATGATGAAAGCACAGTATTAATGAGGGCAATGCGATAGAATAAAAAGCAAACAGTAGGGGGTGAGAGAAAGTTTATCAGACTGTGAAGATGCAGTGAGCGGTATCTGTTGGGGCTGCTCTTACTTATTATATACATTAAGTCCTCACTAGGGAATAAAGCGACTAATGTCGGAAATTAAGCTGATGTTGCCAAATTGAGGGAATGGCTTGTGAAAGACTGCAGGAGGTCAAAGATAGAATGCAGAATCAGTTCAATGTCATTTTGGCGTGAAGAATATAAAAACCAGCAAACCATGAAATGGTAAGATTATAAATGCATTAAGAAGCTGAAACACTAACAAATTGTTAATTAAAAAAATATTTGTCTGCTAATTAACCTCCAGTTAATTTGAGCTACAATATATTACTGTGTTGGTTTGAAATGTACATAGTAAACTGCGACATGCAATGCATGTCAAAAGCTAGCTTATGGCTACCGGTAAGTAGTAATTGCAACTTTTTTATTATGCTGTTCACTCTTCCTTTCATTACTATGGCTGGAGTGCCCTCACTGCTCAGGAGATTTGGAGTCTCATTATTCCCTTCCCCGATGTCGTGTCTACATGTATGTCTGTTGTTGAAAGAAAGCCAGAGTCTTGTTTCAATCTCAGCCAGTAAACCGAGTTGTTCTCCATGGTGACTTGAGTATCTCAATGGGACTTGTTGGCTGCAGTGAACAAAACCCAGGCACTTAGAATTGTCCCTTTTACATCTCCAGCGGTGTGACTGTGTCTCTCAGACCACACGTAGAGACAGTGACAGAATCGCCTCTTCACAACCAGACCTGCTAACATGGAGGGAGCAGATTGGCTGTGTTACAGATGCACTACGGGCACCTTAACATAAAATGAAGCAGAAATTATTTTCCGAAAGATGGAGGTACTATTTCCTTTCTGTGTTACACCACAACATCTTTTAAAGGGAGTTTTTTTTTGCAGTAACCTTGAAGATGATTTAAAACTCTCCAAGTTATCCAGTTTCACAGAAAAAGGCAATAATCTAAATCCTTTCTGTATCCGCATCAATCTCAAGCTCTGCCTATTCCTTATCACTTTATCATCCTATTGTCTGGCCCGCCATCTAGTGACTAGAGTGAGAACTAACAAACTGCACCCATCTGGGCAGCCCTCGAGTTTGCAGATGGGAATCAGACATTTTACTGAGTGAGCAAGTCTAGTTTATAATTAAATTACTCGTCTGCTTCAAGTTATATCCAGCAAAATAACTTACCAAGTCTCACAACGTCCACTGTTGTATAAGATCAAATGTATTTAATCACAAAATGAAAGCAGGGGGGAAAAAAACAGCAGGTCTACAGAAAACATGTTTCGTTCTATTTTAATTTCCTGCAAAGAGCCATTAAGTGGCTGTTGTTACAGTTAAAGACAGGGAAAGAATGGGATTGAGTGATTGGGCGTGAAGTGGGATGAGCTCCCTCCATGTTAGCAGGCACAAATCTTCGCAATCACTGCCTTTGCTTGGTACTTACCCTCTCACGCAGACGTTCCATAAGTGCAGCTAAATGAGCCTCGCGGTTTTCCTTGTTCAGTTCCATCTTTAGAATCAGTTTCTCCTCTGCAGTCCTGCTGAAATTATTATTCTCTTCCACAGCCTTTTGCAACACCTCTCGCTCATGCTCTCTCTTTTCTGCAAGTTGCTTCAGGATCTGGGCTTCCTGAGACTGCAGACAATAGACAATACATGAGACTAACCCCTCACACCTCAAATACGTCACCTGCTCTTTGTATCGTGTACCTTTTAAGGACAAAAAGAATCTTTTAAAGGTGGTACAAATTATATTTATGTTGTCCTTTTACACAAATCAATCTATCTTTTACTGGGTGTTTTACTCAACATTCTGACGACATATCCAAGCTTAAAGAAACACCAAATCAAAAAGACCCAGGCAATCTACATACTTGACCATAGACATGAAGCTGCAAGTGAATATTTAGCATGTTAATTCGCTAAGGCACCACAACACTCAAGACTGAGAGAGGGAAGCGTAATAATACTAACCCTTGCATTCCTATTGCACCTCAACAGGTCGATGGGATGTCTCAAAGCGCTTCACAAGAGAGACTGAAAATGTTATGCAGAATTCTGCAGTGCGTGCCCTCTTCCACACCAAGCTCTGGGATCCCATCACCCCGTTCTTCACTAGGTTGCCATTCCTCAGAGAATTGAGTACAAAACCCTCATTTTTACCTTCAAGGCCCTCCACGGTCTTGCTCCCGACTATCTCTCCGACCTCCTAACCCCATAACAGCTTGTCCGCTCCCTCCGTTCAGCGGACAACGGCCTGCTTCAGGTCCTCCACACTTCCCGCTACACCATTGGCGCTCAGGCATTCAGCATCTCTGCCCCACATTCTGGAACTCTATCCCGCAATCTCTCCTACTCACCCTCTGTCTCCCGTCTGAAGACCTCCTTTTTCGACCGTGCCCTCAGCCACCCTCCCAACCTCCTTCCCTTCTGACCTCCAACTCCCAGCTCGGGTCCAAAACCCCTGATTGTCCAGCACCCTGGGATGTCTTTCCGATGTGAAGGGCGCTATACAAGTGCAATTTTTTGTTGTTGTACGACTGTATTTTGTGAGTGAAAGCGCCAGTCAATACGTGCAACGCAATGTTCTCACAAAAAGCCATGGAGTTAGTGACCAATTTTATTTGGGGATTATATCAGGAGGTATACTGGGAGAAACATCCTTTTTTTCCCGAATAGTGCACCTAAACAGGCAGATTCGGCGTTGGTTTAACGACTTATGTCATTAACGACAAAATGTAATTTTGTTTGTTGGTATCTGAAGGACAGCACCTTCGACAATGAAACACACCGTCAGCACTGCATTGCAGTGTCAACATAAACTATATTAGTTTCAAGTCCCGATGTGGGGCTTTGTCACCATTGTCAAAAACAGCTTGCTCAGTTTTCACTTAATGAAAAAGCTTTCAGCAAACCTTCACACAGCAGAATGACATAACACTCAACAAAATATATCACTCATCATTTGTGGGTGATGTCACTGTTTGCCCTCCAAATTGGCCATAAAAGATCTCCCTGTTGAGCTGTTGAAACTGTATCACCATTCCATGTATCGGAAACCTACTTTTGTTTCTCTGTTCTCCGTATCTGTACTTTAAGGAAAGGGAAGAATATCGTGGGGGGATGGGGGGATAACCTCCAAAAATATTTTGAAGACGCCAATGGACCTTTAAGAACAACCCCACAATTGCATTCAAAACTGTACATCTAATTTTGTGCTAATGTACTGAGCAGATCAGTAATTGCCTCGGGTATTAAATTTACTACTAATAATATCCTGTCATCATTTCTGACTGAGGTTTGTTTGTGTACTAAATCTATGGAAGAAGTCAGTGATCATTTGTTAAGAAACACTCGCCTGGGGACTGAATGGCACAGTGGGTAGACGACTGTCATTAATTTTGCTCTAATTAGCAGTAACTGTCAGTGTCTTACAGTGACCCAGTGATGCTGGTATGTGAAACAAAAGTCTTACAATAGCACAGTAGAAAGTGTCCTTTTGAGATCGGGGTTATGCAAGCTGCTGGCCACAGTAGAAGGAGCTCTACTCTATCCATAACTAATGCTGTACATGTCCTGGGAGCATCTGATGGGCAGTTTGGAGGAATGCTAATTCTATATTTAATCCACGCCATATTTCATCCTAGAAATCTAAACAGTCCTGTGTCTTTATCTGTTTACATGCCATAGAATAAATTCCAAGCATGATATTGTAGCTAGTCTGTATATTTTACATATGCATTTCCCCTCAATCACTTTGCTCATTACACTGTATGTGCATTTATCGGAGGAATGAAACACACTTCACGTTGCATTTAGTGACAGCGCAAAGGAATCTCGATTGAGTACATGTCATTCAGTATCTAACACTTGACAGCTAAACTTCAAGTGTATTCCAGTAGTCTGATCCTCAGCGTGGTCCAACAGGTGGTCCTTGGGCCGCATCTGGCCCGCTGAGTGATTTTATCCGGCCTGAGATAGTTTCCAAGATTCCAACTTCCGCTCCCTCCCTCCCTTGTGAATGTCCTCTCATGGCCGTGGCAGGAACTGGCGGTTTGGAGGACGCAGCGCAGAGAGTGAAAAGTAAACTGTCCGTTACTGCAGTGTGTACTGGAGCTGAGGGGAAGGCAAGCGAGTCTCCTTACCAACCGCGCCCTAAGCTACTGCTGGCTCCTGCCACTGCAGACAGTGGCCCGAGTGGCTGATTGGGGGAGATAGAGAGGGGAAAGGGGAATAGATGAAGGGGAAGAGAGGTGGGGGGATAGGGGGAAGAGAGGTGAGGGGAGAGGGGAGGGAGGGGAGAGAGGGGGGGAATGGAGGAGAGAGAGGGGCGGAAGGGGGAGAGGGAGGGAGAGAGGAGGGGAATGCAGAAGGGAGGGGGGAGAGAGGAGGGGAAGCGGGAAAGGGGGAGAGAGAGGAGGAAGGGGAGAGACGCAAGGGAGGAGAGAGGGGAAGGGGCAGAGAAGGGGCAAGGGGAGAGAGGAGGGGGAAGGGGGGGAGAGGAGGAAGAGGGGGCAATGGGGAAAAAGAGGGGGAAGGGGGAGAGAGGAAGGGAAGGGAGAGAGAGGAGGGGAAGGGAGAGAGATGAGGGGCAAGGGGGGAGAGAAATGGGGAAGGGGGAGAGAGGGGAGAAGAGAAAGAGTGGGGAAGTGGGGAGAGAGAGGGGGAAGAGAGGAGAGAAAGGAGTGGGAAGAGAGGAGGGGAAAGAGAGGGGGAATAGAGGAGGGGGAAGAGAGGAGGGGGGGTAGAGGGGGAGGATGGAAGAGGCAGACATTTCTCAGATAGGGAATCCGTCCCGTAGTAACCAAAAGGTTGGACCACCCTGTGACTGAAATGTAACAAATAGACATTCTGCATGAAGTGGTCTTCAAGGACTAATCAAAAAAGCACAAGGCAGTGAGGCATGTCTTATAGTGACATTGTTTAGGCAGTTGGACGAATGAATATGCCATACACAATGCATGATACATCACAGTATTACAGTGAGAGGTTACTCAATCTTCATGCTCTCCTTCATCTATTCAACCTTGCTCTTTAAATACTGAGACAGACAAATTAGGGCACCGTGGACTAAATTATCACATGCATATCATTTACATTATAAATGTAATGTGCACTGATTCCGACAAGGGCTGGGTCTATTTGCATGTATTCATTAGGCTAATCATCACAAGAGAGGCCATTAAGATGTAAGTTCACTTTGTGACAAATTAAAATAAAGATATTATAGCAATGGGGGTAATTATACTGGCTGCAATGTTCTGATAGATCTGGTGATTATTCATCTTGTGTGACTTTAAAATATGGAGATAGTATTCTGGAGTTCCTCGGACTCCCTCCCTCCCTCCCACCCACCCACGTTCAAGGCACATTTCAAAAACGTATCTCTTTGACAGCACTTTCGGTCACAACTCCCGTCCCCAGAACTTTCAGTTATTCAGCCTCTACTTTCTACTGCCTTCTCTTTCTGCCTTCACAACCTTAGTTAAAAAAGATATCTTTTCATCTTGCCTGTAAACAATTACTTTAAGTGCTCCACGATGTTACCCCCTGTGAAGGGCACTATTTAAATGGAATTTGTTGTGATGTACTTTACTCCCTGCTCAGTGATCCCCACAACTTCTGTGAACTGCTTCGAGACATCCATCCAAGGTGAGAGATACACCATGCAAATGCAGGTTGTTGCTATTTACCTTCCTCCTATCTTCAGCAGCCTCAAGCTTCTTCTGGATCTCATCCAGGGAGAGATCCTTCTTAGGAGGTGACAGAGCACGGTCCAGCACTGGAGCTGCTTCAGGAGAAGGTGGCTTTAAGATCACCTCAAAGGACTGACCTGAGGCACGCTTGTTGATTTGCTTAACTTCCATGTCTGGAGAAAAAAAATCATGTATTGTAAATAGGTGCACAGGCATCTTGTAAGAGAATCTCTGAGGTTTTAACATACAGCAAATCCAAACAGGATTCCTTATTATGGAATCCAAATGGTGAGGACTTTCGGGAACTGGATGTATATCACTTGTGCTATGCCCGACCTGCGGTAATACTACTAATAATAATAATCCTTGCATTTGATATAGCGCTTTTCACGTCTTCTCGACATCTCAAAGCGCTGTAAAGTGAATTAACTGTATATTTGTGGGCAAAACGAGGCAGCCAATTGTGCACAGCAGTGTCCCACAAACAGTCCTGGATTGAAAATGACCAATTTATTATTTTTTTTGGAGGGATTATTATTAGGTGTGTGGAGTAAGGAAACTTGCCCAAGGTTTCGCCCTGCCCGGAATTGAACCCAGGTGTCTCGCTTGCAAGGCAAGTGCTCTAACCACTGAGCTACAGGACTCCAAAAGTAGTTCCTGTGAATTGGCACGAGACTCCAGGTATATTTATTGAGGAATAACACACTCTTCAACCCTCTGAGATCCCCTGGTCTCAGTAGATGGGTCTGCAGTACTCCTGAGTACTGTTCATGGCAGACAGGCCAGCCTGCCTCAGTGGTCACTGGGGGCAGATTCTCATCAGCTTCTGTTACCTTGCAAGCTAAAGGTGTAATGATGGGGTGGTCCTAGCTGAACAAGCATTGGGAAGCTTGCAGGCAATGTTTATGATGGCAAGCAATATGGTTTAATGTGGTTAAACTCTAGTAATTACCACAATGCCTACAGACAGCACAAAGTAAAGATTGCTGAGAATGCAATGTTGCTCTCTCGCTTTCCTCTGTGGGTACTTGTACATGATTTTGGACTTGTGCCAACTATGGCAGATGTGAAGAATGTCCAGGCATCTGAGTGACGCTCAAAAGTGTAATATAAAAACAGGATAAAACAATCAACTTAAACCACAAGAAATTGTGTTCCCATCAGTGAACAATTGTGAACCATTAAAATCAAGAAGAAGTTGACATCAATTGCATGTCAACTAGAGATCACCGATGACTCACCATCATAGCTGTAAAGGGTGGTAGCATGTGGTTCAGAATAAAAGCAGGAACATATCAGCGAGAGCATAGAGAGCTCCTTCATTTTCTCTTTGTAAGCTGTAATAAAGCAGAGCACAAAGTCATTTGAGGAGAAACTCAATTTCTTCGGATGACACCAAGTGTAATGACTTCACAGCTGAAACACAGTGGAATGAGACAGTTCAGAGCAGAAGCTGTTGCTGATATAAATGACAACTGACTTGCAAAATTAATTTGATAATCGACTCAATGAGAATTCACGTAAATTTCAGAACCATTTTATTATGTGCTCATGTTTTATCTATTTGCTTAAAATCTTTCAGCCATTTTGCTCCCCCTCCCACCCCCTCTGGAGTTCTATCCCACAGACCCTCTGCCTTGCTCCTCCCTCTCCACTTTCAATGCCTGCCTCAAAACTTACCTCTTTGAACATGATTTTGGTCATTCCCCCTTCCCTTTCAAGCCTCCTTCCCCCACCCTCCCCCATCCCTTTTCAAGTGTTCTTCTCCCCCACTTCCCTGGCTTAGTAGCCCAGCGAACTGTGTAAAGCACTTTGAGACGTCTTCCTGAAATGAAAGGCTCTGAGAATCTTAATCATATTGTAATAGTTAGGATCAGTTACATCAGGATGAAGATATTAATAAATATGAACAAGATGTAGCATTTGTTCCTATGAAAAACTTTTGAGCATTTTACACAAAGAGAAAAGAAATGTAGGAATGAATACATTAACGTGACAATGGGGTCTAAATTGCAGGTTGGACTATTAGCCCATGAGCTAACTGTGTTCAACCACATGTCTGTGCCCTTAATTCTGCAGTTAACCAATGAGGAAGATTACAGAATCACATGGAATCCTTTTCTTTGGTGGATGATTACATAAGTAAAGGGCACTTGTTTATGTTTGAACATGGTTAACCCATGGTTAACCTCCACTTAGCCTCTTCCCAATAAATATTTACTTTTTTATTCTGAAATGTGTGTTTTTCCCTCAGACTCCCCAGGCCATCAATTAGGAACAATAAAGGGGAAGCCCCCTTCTCATGCCAATGGCAGTCTGAACAGGGAGGTGTGTAAGTGTCTTTTCTATTTTACTCTGTCAGTGGCAAATGTTTTCCGCCTTTAACTACTCACTGTTTGGCTCAGATCAACAACAACAACCACAAGATTGCATTTATAGAGCGCCTTTCACGTCGGGAGGACGTCCCAAGGTGCTGGACGGTTGGATCGGGACCCGAGCAGGGGGGATCTGGTTAGGGTGAGGGGAGGGAAGGGAGGGAGCGAGGAGGGGGTAGAGAGTCGAGAGGGGAGCTGAAGGCACGGTTGAAGAGAAAGGTCTTGAGACCGGCCTTGAAGGAGGAAAGGGAGGAATCTGCAATCACCACTCCCTTGCTCTATACCTATTTGTCCCAATACAGCTGTTCTCAACCCACTACCACTCTGCCCTGCCACAGTGATAGGGCTGACCACTGTCTGGCCATTTCTTACTCGATTGCTTGGTTCCCTCCTCCATGAATCATTTACCTCACTTTCAGGCTTATTATTCAGTGAGTAGGAGAGGACTTTGATTCAGTGAGTCTGACAAGGTTCTGGGTCACAAGTTCATTCAGCAACTCGGATAGAAAATTTCGCTTAGAAAGTCGTGTGATTTGAAGGTTTAACTTCTATAAGTGCGATAACCATCCTGTCTTTTCATCGCTACAGATCATGATTCTTTGTATTGTAGTACGTCTAACATTAAATATGGTGGACTGGTCAATACTGTTAATATATGGCCTATTTCAAAAATACTGTAGAATGTGTAAATATTTAATTTGGATTTTGCTTGAAGTCTCAACAAGCGACCTTGAAAAAGCAAGGCGACTGTTCAACATGTGCCATTTGTCAGCCTGACGCACATCAATGAGTCATCAGAAAATGTCGACAAAAATCAATTTCTTGTCTAGGAAAGCTGATGCTATCAATACCTTACTAGCAAGTTAATACTCACCAACTCTTCATGTTTGCACCAGAGTCTTATTCCACTGTGCTTGATATATATTTAAAACAAATTAAATATGGTTTAGGGGTGACCCATTCTTCTCTGCAGCAATTCTCATCAACCACTCAGCCCCTCATGAGACACTAAACTACTTCAGACCAGTCCTAGACATCCGTTGAAACAGAGGTTTGCTAATGCCTTAAAGTCCTTCAGAGAATTTTCAAGCCTGGTTGATTTATAAGTTAATGGTGATTTACAACAGTAAGCCATGTTTAATGGTTATTTGACTGAAACACATGAACACAAGCTTTACACCAAGAGACATGGGGGAGAATAACTAACACCAACAATTCTACATTTAATGCATGAAAGAGATGTAAAGTTATTGTTTGTTATTCTCTCCATGTTGCTTGGTGTAAGACGTGGGTCTGTTTTTCCATCATTGGACAAGCTTCATTATGTTTACAAATCTCCTCCCTACATCCAAGCTCCATGTATCAACACAAAGTCACATTGTCTATTACTGCCCTATTCTTTCTAAAGACTTTAAGGCTAACGTTCTGGAAACTCTTTATTTCTTCCAATTAATCTATTGACTTTTAAAACACAAGCATTGCATCATTCAACTACATCTACTTGACTTATTCATTTGCTATTCAGGTGATAGTACCTGCTCTATGGAACTTAACACTTCACTTGGACTCTTACATTTATGGACTTGAGTGACTGACTAGGTTGCTTGGCGCTCCTTGGCTATCATTGCAGGAGTTCAGAGCAGCACATTCTGACAGACATATCAGCTTTCACAGCTAGTTAGGTTATTCTCAAGGATATACTTTGGATGCCTCAAAGACAAGTGCACTCCCTTGCAGAAATATATCCAACATAAATGCTCAGTTTTGTGAAGAGCATTTTATACAATCACGAATGCTTGTTAAATGATGGTGTCACTTTCAACAACAAAAAACAACAAAATTACATTTGTATATCACTTTTCACATCGGGAGGGCATCCCAAGGTGCCAAAGCTTGTCAATAACACAAGCTATTCTTTCTCCCATATGTAGCACTAAGAGCATGTAACTACGCTATTTTGGAATAAAAGCTGTATTATGTCTTTTTTATTTATTACTCAGGAGTAAAATAACTATCATGTTCCACCAGCAAAGCACATCTGAAATATTGCCTCTAATAAACCATTTTGTTCATTATGTGCTATCTATTAGACTGATAATAATTATGATCTAATTTATGACTGAGAACTTAACAGTAAATCTGTCATATTTAATAGACAATCATTGACACTTTCAATTGGCCATTTAGATCATTTTGTTCAATCATTCTAACCATTACACTTTAAACTATCTTTTATATAAGATTACATCCAATTTGCAACTTTTCCCAATTGTCCTTCGAATTAATATATTCGTTAAACGCATCTTCCCATTGAGTCAAAGGTACATTTGAACCTCTCACCAGACCATTCTCTAATCTGTGTGTTGATATCTACACACACAGTACATCTGTCTGGTGGTCTAAATGTCATGCAGTAATAATGGAACAATGATCTTTGCCATGAATAATGCAAATGAATCACCATGCTTCAAATGACAGTGTATCCATTCACATCATCAATGCTGCCAAATCTTGAATATCTATTTGGTTGAGTAGTGCTTTTTGGTAATTTAATGCAATATTTGATATCATTGTAGTAAAAATATAATTTGTTTAGCACCATTTCTGGTTGAGATACCTTTCACTGCACCATAAATATATACAATTTACATTAATAGCTCGGATACCATTCTGCAACGTCAGATGGTGAGTTTGTTTTCATAGTCGAGACATACGGAGATTCAGCAGGTAAAAGGAGCAAATTTAGCACCTAGCAGTATGGTGCTACCTGACTAATGCCTAGTGCGTCAAGGTCTTATTATTAGTACACCTGCCAGCATTCTCTGAAAGCAAGTTCAAATGGATAGGGAATTGCTGATGGCAACCCAGCCAGCCTGGCTCATCAATAGGTGTCGGAGGAGCAGAGCGCTCACTGGGGACAGGGAATGTTCATACTCAGCTCCTGTTAACCCTGGAAACTACAGCCCTAATAAGTAGGGTGGTACCAGCTGGACAAGCAGAGTGAAGCTTGCCAGATAGTACTTTAAATTGCAAGCTACGTGGTTTTAGCTGGTTAAACTCCAGTGGTATCCCAACGTAAATGGAGCCTTGGCTCCTGGCAATCTATGTCTAATACTTTCAGGAATTAGGTGAGCAGGGTGCATAAATAAGGATTTATTATTTAAGTTCAACCTTACCTTCATCCGACTGTCAACCACATGCCCCTTCCTGCCTCCGTAGGACTTTACACATGAAATTGCCAGCAGCAATTAGTTCCATTTACATTATAGAATACTGTAAATATTCAAGATTTTTCCTCTTCAGACACGTGATCTTATGGGGGCAGATGCATTTGTCTTGTGTGTTGGGCTGCAGTGGTATCGGTTGTAATTGCATTTGTCTAAGTGAAGGCTTCTCCCAGTGGAGTCCAAAAAATGATTGATGAATGTATATCCTTCTAAAACAATAAGATTAACCTGCATCCATTGAAAATTCTCAACCATTTATACTTTGTACGTGCCTATATGTACAAAGCCACTACATTTTAAGGTAAATCCTGCTAAGAATATTGAAATGATTCAATGGCGTGTTGAGGTGCAATATCGAATAGAAGAATTTATTATACTGCATTTTATTAATTTAATACCACATTGGCATGAAACACTTAAGAAACCTTCTAATAATTCAGCCTTTGATAACCACGGTAATCACCCAACTCACAGAAGAGTCCCCTGAGATTTCCAAACTGTGAGTAGAATATAAATTGTCATTCTGAAAGGGTGTTACAGTTAGATTCTCTGTATTTTATGGCCAAAGGAATTTGATTTATAATAAATTCAATATTACAATGGGCTACCTACTCTGGCTTAGTTATTGTATTCTATGTGCATTATGATTCAGTGCCGTAATCACAGCGCAGTTTGCACTAAACATAGAACACCTGGCATGGCAGTGCAAATCTGAAGAAGCCCATGAGACAGATT